TTGGTGCTCCAAGAGTCCGAGCTGGATCATATCTTTGGCTGCTCAGCTTTGGATTCAGCTGCTCATAACCCACAACAGCCAGAGTTTAAATCCAGGAGAGAAGGAGGAGAAGGGATATTGTCCCTCCTGCCCTCCCTGCTGAGGTGCAGGTCCCTACAGCAGGACAAGTGTCCCCAGCAGACAAGTGTCCCCAGCAGCTCCATGAGTCCCCAGCACTCGGCAGCCACAGCCCCACCTTGGTTTTCCCTAAAAGGGCTTTTCCTACCACTGCTCCAAGGACTCTTTGGGTGCTGCATTCCCAGGGAAGGCTGATGCTTCCAGATGGAGCTGCTCTGCTGAGGGGGAGCTGATTTCACACCTCCACGTGGCCCTGGCAGGACTTCAGGCTTTAAAACCTGAAGTTTCATCTCCAAGCTGTTCATCTCCTGAAGTTTCATCCCTGAACTATTAAGATCCCTGATCTTAACGAGGCCCAAACCAGCCCCCCAGTGCTAAACCAGCCCCAGCTGTGATTAGTGAGTTATTTTATCACCAGCCCTGCCAGGCTCAGCACATGAAACCACCAGGTCCCCACCCAAACACCAGACAGCTACTTACAGTAAATCACTCATCAGCCAGTTCTCAGGTTTGATTTGGCAATTAAAAAAAAAAAAAACCCAAACACCCCTGGAATCGCTGCTCCCAAACCTGTTTGCCCTTTGCTTGTCTCTGCTCACGGAATGCCGGCGGTTGGAGTGGTCTGTTCTCACAAAAGGGTGGAACAAACCAGAGCCCAAAATCTTGTGTTTGCTGGAAGGGTGCCCGGCGTCCACGAGTACAGATGCTGGGGGAAGATTAAGCCTAGAAAGCCTTTCTTCAGATTCAGGGCACTGCTGGCCAGAGTCAAATCTGATCCTCAATTATTTAATCTTTCAACTCAGCTGCCGCTGAACGGGGAATTTAAAGGGGGGGGGTCACGGAGAGGGGTCGAAAACCTGTCGACAGAGAGAGGCCGGGGCGTTTCAAACGTTTTATTAAAAACTTCCAAAGGTCTAAAACGAAAATGTACACCTACTACAGTTTGTACACTCACAGTTAAAGTGCTAAGAAAATTAAACTTTACAAAACCGACACTGGACTACTGTAAACGAGCCTACCCAGAGCCGAGCGCAGGGCGGGGTCAGGACCGGCCCCCGTGTTCCAGCTCCCTGCGGGACTCACGGACACGGGAGCGCCTTCCCCTCCCATCCAGGTGGATGATGGTACAGCAGGGACACAGGAGTGCCCAGGCAAAGCATTACATGCACCGAGTGCCCCCATGCACGGCCCCCACGGCTGCTCTTGACAGGCAGGAAAACGCCCCACCTCGGGTGGAAATAAACCCCGATCCGGGTAGGAAAGGAGCACAGGGGGAGAGGAGGGAAATTTCACATTCAGCTGGACATTCTGCTGTTTGAGGTGGACCTCGGGATGTCTCCCATGCAGGGTTACTCTGCTCTGTGCCCCGTGTTCATGGCACAGGGGGGTTGCCCGCTCCCCACTGCTGTTTTGGGATCCTCATCCCCCTGGAACTGGGCTGTGGAGTCAGTTCCCTTGGAAGGGTGGGCATTAACCCAGCTCTCCTGGCTCTTCTCCTCAAGCCCTTTATGAGGGGTTTTCCCTCCCCTCCTTGCTGGAACAAACTGGGAGCAGTGCTGGGTTTTGCTGCAGCTGGATTTTGGCCCCGCGCTCACCCCCAACCCCCATACAGCCGGTATCCAACGCTTCCAGAGCAAAATTCGGGTCTAGGAAAAGGGAAGGCATCGAGAGCAGACAAACACATTTACACCTGAACGTGGCTTTTTGCTGCTGTTGGGCTGTTTGTGCTCTAAAAAAGGATGAGTGGCAGAGATCCAGGGGAAGGGCGGCTGCTCCTTTTCCATGCAACGCGGCCGCAGCTCCGATTTGGGATATTGCAGTGGACAACAAGAGCTACGAGGGGGTTAGGAAAGAAGGAACATCACAGGCTCTGGGGAATCTGTTGTCAGCAGCAATTGGGTTCACAAACCAGGAGATGCAGCTCCTTGGGAACACTGGGAATGAGAAGCCGTGCTTTTTTTGTGGGAAGCTTTGCTGTCGCCATCTTGCAGAGCAGAGTTTTGGGGCTCAGGTCATCTCGTGTGTGTAGGAGGGGGGTACATTAACCTGCTGTTGGGACGAGCTGGAGAAGCTGGGCAGCTTCTCTGCCTGTTTTCCAGGAGAAGGGGTCCAGGTTTTGGTGTCCTGTTTCTCTGCTGGGAAGGGACAAAGCAGTGCTGGATCCCCACGAGGAACGTGTGTCCAGCTGCAGGAACATCCAGGCAGCCAAAGCCCAAAGCACCCGGAGTGTTCCAGTGACTGCACAACTGTCCTCCTGGGCAGGGGCTTATTAAAGCAGGGCTTTAAGCTCCAGGGGAATTTAAAGCTTGGCACCGATCCCAGAAATCCGGTGCCCAGGCTGGAGCTCTTCCTGGTGAGCAGGATGTGCCAAAGTTAGGAAAGCACCCCAAAAACGTGCCTGGTGCCCCTGCCAGAGGTGGTGGCTGGGCCACATTCCAACTGGGATATGGGTCAGAGCCCCTGGGCAGGATGATTTGAGAGCTGAAGTGCCCTGGCTGTGGAACTGCACCAGGGCTGGGACAATCTGACATCAGGGATGGGCTTCAAAATCCCAGGAGGAATGCTCTGCCCAGAGCTCAGGTGTTGAAGATAAAAGAGAGGGAGCAGGGAAGCAAAAACTCCAAGCAGAACTCTAATTTTAGGTTTAATCACCTCTCTGGGGTGACAGGATCCATGAGCAAGGAACAGCCGAGATATTCCCATCTGGAGGCAATAGGGGGACTGAACCTCCCAAATTAACATTTTCAGCAGGATTTGTTTCAAACCTCCATCACTGTTCCCCTCCCTGACTCTAAACAAGTCAAAGCATTGCTAAAATTTATG